TTCCCTAATCCAGCACTAGAGTCAGCTCTGGTTCCTCACTGTGGAGAGTGTTACTTATTAAGAAACCATAACCTAGGTGCTAGATGTTCTTATTGCAGTTGGGATGTCATTGCTTCTAAGTGGACAAAGCTAGGGTATCTGTTTATTTGTATTTACATACACATAATTATATACATACTTACATCCATTTACATCTGTTTTTTTCATGCCCAGATCTTCACTTCCACTCTTGACACCCCAAGGATTTTTCCCTCCCTTTCCTAGAGAGTATTCTTTGTCACAGTTAGAATCGTAGCAACCAGATATTCTCAGTATGTTTACGTACTTCATTTAAGCCATGTCTTATTGCCAGCCTCCTTGCCTTGCTGACACTTTGACACTCTTTGTTGGGCTGTCACCACTCCACTCATGCTTGTTCCCCATTTGTCTCAGTCTCCCAGACCTGTTACTCAGTTTCCTCTCCCCCCTCATATAAATAGTCTCATTCTGCTCTCCTGCTTTGGACCATCAAACCTCCCCGATGCAGCTGCCTATCTTGGTCAGCGTAATCTAATGGCATTTGGAATGAATTGGTGGGGTAAGGAGAAAGAGAACTCTGTGTGTATGAGTATATGTGAGTGAATGAATGAGACTTTTTATGTATGTTTTTTTGTTTTTTTTTTTTGCGGTACGCGGGCCTCTCACCGTTGCGGCCTCTCCCGCTGCGGAGCACAGGCTCCGGACGCGCAGGCTCAGCGGCCATGGCTCACAGGCCCAGCCGCTCCGCGGCACGTGGGAACCTCCCGGACCGGGGCATGAACCCGCGTCCCCTGCATCGGCAGGCGGACTCTCAACCACTGCGCCACCAGGGAGGCCCTATGTATGTTATTTTTAGGGAGGTCTGTAAGACAGACAGTGTTGAATTCTCCTTTTTGCGAATAAGTATTTGAATCTATTACTGTTTGTTTTACAGAAGTTTTTTTCTTTTCCCCCTTTTTTCCATGTCACAGGAAATTTCGATTTTCGGTTTAGTTTTTAGTTTATTGTGCTGAAATCACCGTTTCGCAAATCTTCTCCCCTTTATTTATATATTCCTCTCCTGAATAGTTTGCATCCAAAAATAAACATGCTGACTGGAGAAAAATCATATTTTTGGAATTCTTTTTTTTTTTTTTTTTTCTTGCGTTATGCGGGCCTCTCACTGTTGTGGCCTCTCCCATTTGCGGAGCACAGGCTCCGGACGCGCAGGCTCAGCGGCCATGGCTCACGGGCCCAGCCGCTCCGCGGCATGTGGGATCCTCCCGAAACGGGGCACGAACCCGCGTCTCCCGCATCGGCAGGCGGACTCCCAAGCACTGCGCCACCAGGGAAGCCCTTGGAATTCTTTATCCATCTTAAGTATAGATATAATAGTACACATCACTATCATAGAGGTTTATTTTTTCTGCCTTACACTTTGTCTTTATATTCCTTTGTGTGTATGTGTGTCTTAACTTTTCTTGCAGTTTCTTTTAAAATTTCCATTTTATTTTATTTTTTATATTTCTTGGGCATAACAGTTGTGGTCTCTTTAGGAGAAAACAGCCATACCAGTTATTTGAACCATACCAGTTATTATTATGGAAAAAATTTACAGATTAATTAGTTGTAATAAAAAGGACTATATACTAAGGTATCATGTAAGTAATGACTCAAGGAATTGGCTGCCACCCCTAAAACTTCGCTTCTGATTTCTAAGGTGGGATACTATTTGGATGGTACTGGTGTATGTGGGGGACATGTTGAAACTGGTTCTGGTTGTGTTGGAAAACTTGTAAGGTGGATCCAGGTGTTGCTATGGAAAGGGTCTGCTTTCACTAGATTAAAGGAATATACCAAGGAGTGAGTGATCCTGATGGGAACAGGATGCAGCAAGCCAAAAGAAAGATGCAAGTCCCTTTTCTCTCTTCTAGCCTTGTAGCCTCCCTACTCTATTCCCTTGTGGCAGAGATTCTCAAGGAACCAACTGTTTTGCAGTCCATGCTTCAGAAGAGTCTAAGAGGGCAGGTCTGGACCTGAGACAGCAGCTTAATGACTCACACAGGCTACCCCTTTGGCTACATGGCATCCACACACACCTCCGCATATTTAAACCTTCATGTAACAACTAAACAACGGTCCCATCTGACGGGATGCAACTTTCCCTTCCTACAGAGGGAACCATTTTCGCCCTTGTTCTAATAGTCATTGTACCCGTCTCTGGGAGACTTAATTTACTGCCCAGTCATGGGCTATGTTAATTACTCCTCAGATATACCCCCAACCTATTTATTCTCTTATCTAAAGGCTAACCGGCAAAGGAAACCTCCAACAAAATTTTTGTAAAATAATAATGGGAAGGAGAAGAGAGAACAGTTAATATAACCAAATATATAATATTTACAGAAACACACATACTCATAGCAAGGAAGAAAACATGCAGTGTCCCTATTTCTGCAGCTTGTCACAAAAATTCATACCTTGCTTAATTCATTACCCATTATATTATGTTTTCTTTGCCTTCAGCCAGGACCCTATCCGGTAAGATTCTTTACCTGGTTGAGGTGACCCAAACCTTCATTCCGCAGTGGATCTGCCTTTTTTGTTTGCTTTGATTTTCTATTAACTTCTGCTAATGAGCATGGAAGTACTAGACACCCCACAGAATCCCAGGGTTTCCAGACAAGTTCCCTACCACCATCTTCCTGGCAGCAAACCAACCTTCCATTGGTGATTGCTGTCCATAGAGTAACCCCCTTCCTTGCTTGTGGCTTCAGGGATAAATGTCCTTTAGTATATCAGACTAACTCTTTTTGAAGTATTTCTTCAGTTGAAAATACTCTGTACAAACCTTCTAAAGTCACATAGCACCAGCTCAATATTAAGTCCATGATGGGACTGGTATGATTATAGCTGATATCTTAGTCTGAACTGTGTACATACACCCATCCACTGTTGATTTCTTAAACTTGTCTGAGAGTATCATCTACTCCTGACATGGCAGATGAGAAAGAGAGAGAGTAGGAACTGCAACCATTTGGTGAAATCAGCATTTCATTTCTGAAAGCCCCTCCTGTGTAACCCTTTGAGGCTCCCCAGCCAAGGGCTCTTTGTTTTTGAATATATGGGGAATATGTCTTTATTAAGAATTCATTAAAGAATTTGTTAAGAATCTTCTTTCTTAAAACTTTTAATTGAAGTATAATGTATGCAAAGTATAAGTGTATATATGCTCAATAAATAAAGAGTACACACGCCTGTAACCAAACACTCATTGACACAGAACATTAATAACATCCCAAGAAGGTCTTCTTCCCCCTCATTACTCTCCTCCCCAAATCAACTACTTGCTTGAGTGGTTTTTTTTAGCCTAAGGCTTGTGCATTTTAATTTTTCTTCAGCTTTCTTCAGGGATAATTGACATTACTTGAGTTTTAACAACATAAATTTCTTTTCTCTAATTTTGACCTTCCTCTACATGGAATTGTAAAATATGCATTCATTTATATCTGGCCACAAAGGTGTACGTCAAATTATTTATCCTCATTGTGGGCAAAGTGTTGTGCTGAAAGGTATGATTTGTTACCCTTGTTAAAAAAGGGATATATTAAGAGGGGGGAAAATTAATGTGTCTCATTATTAAAATGGCTATGCCATATTTACTCTGGAATAGTGAGTTATTAAAATTTATGTTTGCAGGTGATTTTCAGTGATTTATAAAAATATTTTTAGTATTGAGTGAAAATAGAGTGTGACTAATTTTCTTTAATTGCGAAGATCAGAACTTGTTGGAGAACAAATTTAGCATTAAATAATCCCAGAATATTAGTAGTGTGGTTAAAACTACTACACTAGTAGTTGGTAGTACTATTAGTACTACCACTAGTACTACTAGTAATAGTAGTCTAGGTTGGGTTTTAGGCTATTTTTGTCCCTTTGACGGCGCCTAGCAAACTTTTGTCTTTTGAAAGCCTTTAAAATATGTATGCATTATTCTGCATTATTAGGAGGGCAGAAGGGATTTCCCTATACTGTCTGAATGCCCTGAAGTGTAATTATATAACTTAATTAAAAAAAATAATTTGTTTTTACAGGCATTTCTCTGGAAATGGCAGCTGTGACAGTAAAGGAAGAATCAGAAGATCCTGATTACTATCAATACAACATTCAAGGTAATACTGTTTAATACAGTTTTTCTTTCCAGAAGTTATTGGTGGTTAAAATTAAAATTCTTTAATTGCCCGAATTCCTTAGATACTATTTTATTGATTGGTCCTTTGGTCCTTGACTAGCATGTATACTTGTAACTTATCACTGAAATAAAATAGATTTCAAAAATGGGGCACTAAAATAAACTCAGTTTACAGGGGAAATGTTAAATAATCATTAATATTCTTAAAAGGACAAGCAAAAGCTGTGGCACAATTTAGAATTCAATTTGAATTTTCAGTTATTTGCAAGGCATAAGAGGTCTTCTAAACGTTTAATATCTCTGTTTGTGCAATAAAAATAACTTTGCATTATCACTATGTTAAAAATCTATAAAAGATAAGACATTAATTTTAGGTATTTATCATCTTGTTCTGTAGCTGCTTGATTATCAAGAGGGAACTAAAGGTCATGATTTCACAATGCAGTTTGCTTTTATGCTTTGATGGGTTTTAGTTTAGAAGAACATCTATAGTTCATGTTAAGTTTAATTTTTATAGGTGCATAAAGTATATTAAACATTTAAAGGATAAGATCTGATTGGTTTTATGTATATACCCATAAAACTATCTTCACTGCAGTCAAGATAAAGAAATGTCCATAACCCTCAAGTTCCCTTGAGTCTCTTTGTAATTCACAGCCCTCCCCAGCCAACCACCGATCTGTTTTCTTTCATTTTAGATTAGTTTGCATTTTTAAGAAATTTATGTAAATGGAATCAGCATAAAGTATGTACTGTTTTCTTGGGGTGGGGAGCTATGACTTCTTAAATTCCACATAATTGTTTTGAAATTTCATCCATAGTCTGGCATTTATCGATGGCTAATTCCATTTTATTGCCGTTATTCCATTGTTCGGCTGTACCACAATATGTTTATCCCTCTGTCTATTGATGGACATTTTGGTTGTTTCCAGTTTGGGGCTATTAAAAGTAAAGGTGCTGAAACATTTGTTTGGAAATACGCCTTCATTTCTCTTGAGTAGATCCCTAGAACTGGAATAGCTGAGATATATGGTAGGTATTTAAGCTGTTTTCCACTGTGCTTTTACTACTGTACATTTCCATAAGCGGGGACAATAGTTCTAGTGGCTCCACATCCTTATCAGCACTTGTATGGTCTGCATTATTATTTTTAGCCACTTCAGTGCATGTCTTGTGATACCTCTTTTTGGTTTTAATTTGCCTTTGCTTAATAGGTTTAGTTCATTTAAAAAGATAAGGCTTTATCAGTTCTGGAGTATTATAAAAAAGTTATGAATAAATTTGTTCTGTTTGTAATCATGTGAATATCTGTATACAGATGTTTGAATTTCATAATTTTTATCTGTCAGATTTGAATATTGCTTATGATGTTAGTAATCACATGGCTAAAAGGTTGGGTTAATTGAGGATTTTTAATTAAAAAGTTAAAAATTTGGAAAATATTAGCCTTTATAGCAGTTGTTGGTACCTTACTAACATATATTTAATAAATACTGTTGAATAAAATCTTTTTAGCACATTATATTTAATTTTTAAAATAAAACGTCTGCCTTTATCTTTGGTATTACCTTTTTTAGCTTCGCTGTTACTAGGCAGGATTACAGAAGCTTTTTTTTTCCCCCTTGGAAATAGGGAGTGTGAGTGATTTAAGTAATAAGAGTGGAAATCAGATGTTTATAGAGGAAAAGATTGCTGAAATGATAATATTTTAAGTGCAGCTGAAGAAGGTGGGAGCCAGACTATTAGTTTTTCATCTAGGCTGAGAGATACAGTCCATGCAGTTTGGGTGCTTCTCTTAATAATTAAGCTTTGGCAATTCTTTGTATATTCTGAATAAAAGTCCTTTGTGATGTGATTTGCCAATAGGTTAATTTGATGGTGTCCAACTTAGTGCTTCCCCCCCCCTTCCATATGAGTTGTGCTTAAGTATCATAGCTAAGAAATCTTGGTCTCACCCAGTGTCACAGAGATTTTCTTCTGTGTCGTATAAGTTTTCATAGTTTTACGTTTAGGTCTGTGATTGGTTTAGACCTAATTTTTGTATAGTGTGCAGAATACCAGGTTCAAACTTAAGGCATACAGATATCCAGTTTTTCCAGTACCTTTTGTTGAAATGACTGTTCTTTTTTTTGTTTTGTTTTGTTTAATTTATTTTTGGCTGCGTTGGCAGGCTTTCTCTAGTTGTGGCGAGTGGGGGCTACTCTTCGTTGCGGTCTGCAGGCTTCTCATTGGGGTGGCTTCTCTTTGTTGCAGAGCATGGGCTCTAGGCACGCGGATTTCAGTAGTTGTGGTGCACAGGTTCCAGTAGTTGTGGCTAGCGGGCTCTGGAGCACAGGCTCAGTAGTTGTGGCGCACAGGCTCAGTAGTTGTGGCGCAAGGCTCAGTAGTTGTGGCGCACAGGCTTAGTTGCTCCACGGCATGTGGGATCTTCTCGGACCAGGGCTCGAACCCATGGCCCCTGCATTGGCAGGCGGATTCTTAACCACTGCGCCACCAGGGAAGCCCAACGAGTGTTCTTTTTCTATTGTATTACCTTTACATCTCTGTCAGTTTCCTCGAGAATATTCTGTTACATTGATCTGTTTCTGTCTTTTTACAAAATTACATTGTCTTGAGGACTATAGTTTATATAATAAGTCTTAAAATCAGATTGTGAGAGTCCACCAAAATTATCCTTTTTCAACATTATTTTGCCTATTTTAGCTCCTTTTCCTTTTCAAATAAATTTTTAAAATCAGCTTATTGATTTGTTCAAAAAGCCCTGTGGGGACTTTTTTTTTTTTTTTTTTTTTGGGTTCCGGGGGCCTCTTTCTGTGTTTACCTGAGTAATCAATCCTTCCTTGGAAATGATACCCTGGT